CACATGTAGCTGACCATGCGCATATATTCCCACACAGGTTCGAATACTACACCTGGTGAAGTTTTTAGGATTATAAAATTTATTATTCATATCCTTACGTTTTACATAGCCGTTTTGTATTATTGGAGTTTCACCCTAGTGAAAAATATATTTCGCGACTACTGCATATCACCGCGAATATCGCGTTTTTCACCAAGAGTTTTACGACGCCACTTCGCGTAAAACGGGTAGTCGTGAAATTCCAATAAAGACGAGCAATTAAATATAACACGGATGAGAATTCTACAATTCTCTTTAGAGCGTGGTCCACTTTATAACGGAGGAATATAATTGAAGCTGTGAAAGTTGCATAAAACTCAGTATAGGAAAATATGCAGATGGTCAACTACATGTGGAAGCGATTACATATATTCCTACTCCAACACTGTATAGGAAACTCCTGAGCTCAGGTGCTGAGGAAAGCGAACATATATTCCTACTCCAACACTGTATAGGAAACTCCTGAGCTCAGGTGAGGAAAGCGATTGCATATATTCCTACTCCAACACTGTATAGGAAACTCCTGAGCTCAGGTGCTGAGGAAAGCGAACATATATTCCTACTCCAACACTGTATAGGAAACTCCTGAGCTCAGGTGAGGAAAGCGATTACATATATTCCTACTCCAACACTGTATAGGAAACTCCTGAGCTTAGGTGCTGAGGAAAGCGATTACATATATTCCTACTCCAACACTGTATAGGAAACTCCTGAGCTCAGGTGAGGAAAGCGATTACATATATTCCTACTCCAACACTGTATAGGAAACTCCTGAGCTCAGCTGCTGAGGAGAGCGATTACATATATTCCTACTCCAACACTGTATAGGAAACTTCTGAGCTCAGCAGCTGAGGAAAGCGATTACATATATTCCTACTCCAACACTGTATAGGAAACTTCTGAGCTCAGCAGCTGAGGAAAGCGATTACATATATTCCTACTCCAACACTGTATAGGAAACTCCTGAGCTCAGGTGCTGAGGAAAGCGATTACATATATTCCTACTCCAACACTGTATAGGAAACTTCTGAGCTCAGCAGCTGAGGAAAGCGATTACATATATTCCTACTCCAACACTGTATAGGAAACTCCTGAGCTCAGGTGAGGAAAGCGATTACATATATTCCTACTCCAACACTGTATAGGAAACTCCTGAGCTCAGCTGCTGAGGAGAGCGATTACATATATTCCTACTCCAACACTGTATAGGAAACTTCTGAGCTCAGCAGCTGAGGAAAGCGATTACATATATTCCTACTCCAACACTGTATAGGAAACTTCTGAGCTCAGCAGCTGAGGAAAGCGATTACATATATTCCTACTCCAACACTGTATAGGAAACTCCTGAGCTCAGGTGCTGAGGAAAGCGATTACATATATTCCTACTCCAACACTGTATAGGAAACTTCTGAGCTCAGCAGCTGAGGAAAGCGATTACATATATTCCTACTCCAACACTGTATAGGAAACTCCTGAGCTCAGGTGAGGAAAGCGATTACATATATTCCTACTCCAACACTGTATAGGAAACTCCTGAGCTCAGCAGCTGAGGAAAGCGATTACATATATTCCTACTCCAACACTGTATAGGAAACTCCTGAGCTCAGGTGCTGAGGAAAGCGATTACATAAATTCCTACTCCAACACTGTGGTTCAAAAATCGCGGAAGAATATTCCCAACACATTTCCCTTCGGCGACCAACCCAGGCAGTAAACTCAACAAACAAATAGCACTACCAACACATTCATCACCGCCCCCTCCCCCCTTCCGGAGCCTTCCCCTTCACACTTCCATCTAGTCCAGTTGGTAACATCCTCATCCGCACTTCCTAACAACCGAGTTCAACACCGACCGCCGTCGTTTTTTCTTCTCCCCCCGGCTTCCCCTCGCCACTTCTCTCGCCAAATATTTCCCCACCGAATTTTCGTCGTTCACCTTTTTTCTTTTTCGAGCTACCAACAATCGCTCCGTAAATCCATCGCTCCTCCGCGGGCCTTTTTCAACAGAGATTCCCACAGCCTCCATAAGCGCGTCTCGTCCGGCTTCCTCAGCGAGGTCCCTTCCTACGTCACCTTCAACTCCCCATCGAAAACATAATTTTTGCAATGCCCTTCTTCTCCTCCTAACAGTTACTTGATTAAACCGCAACACTCCCAATTCCCTCAGTTTTTCCTCGTTGATTTCCTCCAAAGCCGTTAATTCCTGTCGGACATAACAAAGCCGTCTTGCAAACTCCAACACGAACACTCCACAATCGAATTCGTTCAGCTGCTTCGGCGTTTTCTCCGGAAATATCCCCGCCGAGTTCAGAATTCTGGAAATGCCAGGTTTATCTACTTTTTTCCTCGCAGGCCCCTTCTTCTCACAATAAGCTCTCCCCAGATACCACACGATCGTCGCCGCCGCTTTCCTTTGCAAAAACCTCAAAATTTTCTTCTCCTCCTCATCGTCGTCTTCATAACTCCTCGAGTCGAAGACTATCAACCATCCCTTGGACCCACAAGTAGGCACACCGGTGATTTCTTTCGCGAGAGCCTTCGCGCGCACAACCGCCAGCAACCACCAGTGCTGATTCGACTCGTTAATCGGAAATAACAGCAAATCGTGGGCGAAAATATCCACATTTTTCGTCCAGTTTTTCACCCTCTCCCAACCGTCCTGTAGATCCTCTTGAGCTAATTGCGTGTAGAAAAACGTCGAAAACGCATACGCCGAATTTCGAGCGAATACACTCACAAAAACGCTGAGGAAAAAGTCCATCAAGTTGTCGTTTAATCGCTGACCAGGGCCGAGCAAGTCCACATCTTTATCAGCAAGAACATGACCGTGATAACGTAGGGAAAGTGACGATGGTGGTGGAGGCGCAGGGGAACTCTCTGAATCGCTGGAAGAGGAGGAGGAGGAGGAAGATGATATGAGGAGCACCTCTGTAGATGTGGCCATAGACAGGAAATATAATACTACCAATTCTTCATGGGAGGCCATCCAGAGTGTGTCACTAAATTTTTGTAGGCTGTCACTATTTTTGCAAAGTGCATGAACAGCGCGCTGCGTTTAGCGCGCGCCACATATTAAATATTCCATCAGCTGCCGGCCTCGTAGATGAGGATGTCGCGTAAGTGTTGGTCGGTATTCATGATCCGCTCGACGACATGTAGTCACCAACAGATGCACATCATGGGCAACTACATGTGTTGGTGATGACAATATGAAAATTCTGAGAGGAAATTTGTGAAAATTCTCCTTGGTTTCTGTATTCTGAACTCCTGCTGAGCTCAGGTGCTGAGGAAAGCGACTACGTATATTCCTTCTACTCCAACACTGGTGACCAGTAGCTGGACATTTAGACAACGCCACTAAGGAGCTTTATTACTAGAGGCTTAGTACGAGAAAAAGACCCTAAAATTCCCTATCCCTAACAAGTCGCTGTCAACGTTCGTCATTCTTGGACCCAAGCATCCGATAGGAGTAGCAGATAAGTTGTCAAGCTCAGCACCAGCAGTAAACGAATCGCTTTCTCTGTTCACGAATATCTAGTATATGGGCTTGCGTGCTACTCTCGTACGCATACCCAAATTCGGACATGTCGTATTCATGCTCGAATCATCATGGATTCCCTCGCTGTGTGAACCTTCACCCTTACTCTCTATACAGATATGAACTCAGAACGCAAGCAGTAATACTAGTAGAAGAGGTACTGGAGTAACCGTTCAACCACTAAACCTAAATTATCTACACAATAGGATATAACGAGATTGCAAGTGTCAGCATCACAACGTCAACACATCATAATCCCAGGGTACCAGAACAGCTAAAATGAAAGCACCGGATCTCGTCACATCTCCCCTTCTTGAGCGATATTTGAGGTATACCACCCTCGTGAGAGAAATCGAAATACCAAAAGTCTTCAGCTTTTTCGAGCAGGATGGGAAAATATGCGTGTTGGTGATGAGAATATGAAAATTTTTGAAAATTTTTGTTGGTTTTTGCACACCCCTAACCTAGTTCGTACGTAAACTATTATAATTAGCTTTGGAAACTCCTGCTGAGCTCAGGTGAGGAAAGCGATTACATATATTCCTACTCCAACACTGTATAGGAAACTCCTGAGCTCAGGTGCTGAGGAAAGCGATTACATATATTCCTACTCCAACACTGTATAGGAAACTCCTGAGCTCAGGTGCTGAGGAAAGCGATTACATATATTCCTACTCCAACACTGTATAGGAAACTCCTGAGCTCAGGTGCTGAGGAAAGCGATTACATATATTCCTACTCCAACACTGTATAGGAAACTCCTGAGCTCAGGTGCTGAGGAAAGCGATTACATATATCCCTACTCCAACACTGTATAGGAAACTCCTGAGCTCAGGTGCTGAGGAAAGCGATTACATATATTCCTACTCCAACACTGTATAGGAAACTCCTGAGCTCAGGTGAGGAAAGCGATTACATATATTCCTACTCCAACACTGTATAGGAAACTCCTGAGCTCAGGTGAGGAAAGCGATTACATATATTCCTACTCCAACACTGTATAGGGATCGAAGCGATGTAGCGTACCACTCTCGTGTAGGGTGATTTACAAAATCCAAGGAAGAACGACAAAATCCAAGGAGGTTTGTCGCGCCCTCTCAGCAGTTCGGGTTTCTGGTTGCCTTTGGTAGTAACAGCTTTCATCTGTATAACAGTTGGGGTTTCTGGTTGCCTTTGGTAGTAACAGCTTCCATCTGTATAACAGTTCGGGTTTCTGGTTGCCTTTGGTAGTAACAGCTTCCATCTGTATAGCAGTTCGGGTTTCTGGTTGCCTTTGGTAGTAACAGCTTCCATCTGTATAACAGTTCGGGTTTCTGGTTGCCTTGTCGGGTTTCGGGTTTACCCTTCAACTTGGATTTTGTATATCACCCCTCTAGTGTACCTCTTCGAATGCATGTGACATTTCATATTTTCCCCCGTATTATGTCCAAAACAGTAAATTCTCCAACTCCCGAGCAGCTGTTCATACCAGTGGGAGATTCCCCATCATCATCATCATCATCACCAACATTTTCCCATTTTTTCGATTGCCCACCAGGAGTAGAGCTTAAGGAAAAATCGAAAGTAACGTCACTCGCCACGAAATTATTTTGCCGAGTTTTTTTTCTTCTCAGAGAGTTCAACACAAACCCCGAGGAGTTTCCTGCATTCCGAAGTTGAATTGTATGGAGAAAACTAAACGTATATTGTGCACGCAATGGGCATCCCCGGAGAGCTATTCATGAAACATTTAATACCCTATTGTGTTTGTCAATTTACAAGTGACCTCATCTATTTATATGGATGATAAAAATGTGCGTTTTTTCAAAGATATCACCAAGGCGTATTAATCTCTGTATTAATCTCTGTATGATGAGCAAAATAGTGACACGTCTGGGTGCGTCTACACGAACAAGTATCAAACCCTTGATAAGTATGATATAGTTTCAACCCGTTTTACGCGAAGGCGTAATAGTAGTGAAAAACGCGATATTCGCGGTGATATGCAGTAGTCGTGGAATATATATTTTTCACTAGTGTTTTTTCATATTACTAGGGTGGTGAAACTCCAGTGTATTGTATGTGATAATATTGTTTCACCCTATTTACTCTTAGTCATTAGTAATCCACTCGTCACACAAGAAACAGTGTTAAGTACTTTTTTGATATGTGGCAATCACGTCGTTTCTATTTCCTCCTAATAATACAACTTTCCTGCACTCTGAAGAGGCCCAGGGACTTCGAATATGAATGTACCGCATCATCACGTTTTGACTCAGATGAAGTCACCTTTCAGGGGAACCAATTTTGAGAGCAGCAACGGCAAATGTGAATCTCACTCCTTATGCAAATGGACGAGGAACGATAGATTACACACGCATCGATAATGCTCGTGATGAGAGAATACACCATGTTGTTGTTGCGTGTGAACCCAGAATGTGGGAAGATGCGGAATATTACGATGGAGGGGTTAAGGACCCTGTTTATCGGTGAGAAATTTTTGATAGAAAAAAAACAAGTTATGTATATTGTGCGTATACAGTAGGTGTCAATTTGATATACAAATGTGTGTTATTTTGTAGGACAAATGATAGTGAACAAGTTGTCGCTATCATCACAGTCCCAAACGGGTACTCTCATCATCACAACACATGTTCATCGCCATTGTTACATTGCAAATCGATTCTCATTAATCTCGGAAAATAACACACATTTGCATATCAAATAGACACGCACTGTATGTTGAAAAAAAATAAAATTTTCGAGAGTATTTCCTACAAAAACACAGGAAAAATCATGAAAACAGTTAATACAAAAAAACCAATTTTTCCAATGTAAAGTGTTCGTATGCTAAACAAGGCGATCATTTCATTTTCACGATCGCGTAATAGAAGCTTTCGCATTTTTTTCGTAAAAATAACTTTTTTCGCCGACTTAGTAAAAAAATAAAAGAAAAATCACCATTTTTCTCACGATTAACGATGGAAAATAAAGTATGAGTTTTTTTGCGAAAACCAAAAATTCATTTTTTTTCGAAAAATGCTGAACTGCACATACAGCGTGATCGCATAAAAACAGCGCAGTTTCAGCCGTTAACGCCGTGTCACCTTGGTGTTGTGAAAAAGTGATTGAATAACACCACATGTGTTTCACGAGTTTCTCGACTGTTTTTAATATCACTAGGGTGAAACTTGATTATTATCTGAATTTCTTCCATGCCAGGTTTTGTATACGACTACACGAAAAGCATCACGAAGAGAACACAGCGTTGTTGAAGGCCAACAGTCAATACTGTGATATTCATCATAGTTGAGATATCACGATTATCATATATAATTTTCTCAGCGTGTCGGCCAGACCCCAAAGATACAGGAGGAGGGAAGCCAGAGAAACGAGATTGGTTGTAAGTTCACATGAAATCGAGTGGAAACAATTTTCATGATATGATTTTTGTGGAGATTTTCGTCGGAGCGAAATTCTGACGACTACCTGTGGAGTTTCACGATTTGTTCAACGTGAAGTGGTGTAATACTTCATGTGAACTAACAAGGCGTATATGTTTCCGCGACCGATAAGGAAATTATTTTCCGCGAAGTGAAATGTGAAATATCTTTTTCACTAGTGTTTTTCATATCACGGGTGAAACTTCTGTAAAGCGTTATTGAAAATTATCAATGGAGTTTCACCACCCTAGTGATATGAAAAAAACTAGTGAAAAACATATTTTACGACTACTACAAGCCACGAATATCGCGTTTTTCACCGAGTT